TTTTTATAAAGACCTTGGGATCCTTCTGCTCTGACAAACTCATAAGAGTTCAATCTGTGACTGGTTTCATGTGTCACTTGACAGAAAACGCTTTCAGATTTTAATCCAGTCACAGCATGGCATGTGCTCTTGTGCTTCTCTGTGGTTTGGTAATGTGAGAGCAGGTGATAGTGCTCTGTTTCTGGGAGAAAATTAGTGACAATATGTTGTGAAAACAAGGATTTTAAGGAAATCGATTATATGTTTTATTAGAAAGAAAAAAAAACATGTAGCAATTTTAGTGTTTGTCAAGATTTGTTGCTTCATCTTGACATGTTCTAGAATGTTCTCTGATTATAAATGTCTTGAGTTACGATAGTGTTTGGCAAAGATTGTGTTCACCAATGTTTATTTTGGGTTGTCCCCTCTTTGCAGAGCAATGACCAGACAAAGTGACTCAGCATGGCAGTTTTAGATGAATGTATGTGACTTTCTGACACCTCAGTGACACATCAAATAATTAACCTGTGTTTCACGTGGGCATTAAAATATATTTTTTATACCCCAGATTCCATGGACAATAAAATGTTATCTTATAGACGACAATAAAACATGTGCATATCCATTATTTTAAATATCAGCTCACTATACTTAATATATCAAGCTTGGGTCGAGCCTTTACCAAAAGATTTAATACAAGATGTGTTGTGTTTTATAAACCCTGCCTTCCAAAATTTTGGAGATGTCCTAGTCATTAAAAGTGACTTTCAATTATCATTGAAGACCAAGCACTAGTTATTTTCTTGCTTTTTACATCATAATAATGGCAAAATAAACATGTCACAGTCAGACATGCCCCTTTTGCAGCAGTGACACCTGATTAATAGATTAAACTTGACCCAGGTTTTGTTTTTGAAGGTGGCTCAGCACAATTATTGCTTTATTGACTGATTGCAAATTAACCTAAATAGACAAAGAACCAGCAAGAACACACAAACAATTGAACTTTTCAAAATTCTATTGACAACATTGAGTGCATGATCGCTGACAAGACAGGCTGGACAGAGTAAGTAAACCCTTAAATTTAATATTCTGTCCTCTTTTAGCAGCAAAACATCCCCCAAACTTTTCCTGTAGCTGATTACACTTTTATCACTTTGATCACTCTCACAAATCTGTTGAACTTCTGTCTTCACATTCTCCTGTAAAATCTCTTGATACACTGATTCTGAAGTGTCCAGATCCCGAAGCAGCAAAGCAACATTAAACCACGATGCTTTTTCCACCATGCTTCACGGCTGGGATGAGTTGGAATTCAGTGCTCTTTTTTCTCAACTGTCCATAGAACATTTTCACGGTAGCTTTGTGGAACATCCAGGTGGTCTTGGCCAAACATATGAGACATCAATATTTATTTTTGGAAGCAATCCTTTCACAAACATCATTTTTGGTCAGTGTGTGTTTTTTTTTGTTTGTTTTTTTTATTACAGTGGACACATGAACAAACAATTCTGGAGTTTGTATAGTTTTCTGGGGGTCTTTTTCTATTGTTGTTGTCTTAGAGTGATCTTTGTGGGAGAGAGAGTTAACAATACTGAATGTTCTACATTTGTAGACAGGGTCTAGGACTGATGAACACCCAGGTCTTTAGCAATGCTACCGTTGCCTTTTCCAGCTTTGAGCATTTTAATAAAGTGTATTTAAGCATCAAGGCATGGGTCACACTAGCCAATCCTTCTTGAGGAGAAAGAAGATTTGTCCTTAATTGACTTCAATAAGCTTTTTGGAGAGGTTCACTTACTATGTCCAGCCTGCCTTGTCAATGATCACTTAATGTCTTCAGTAACATTCTGAAAAGTACAACTGTTTGTATGTTATTAGTTATTAGTAGTAGTCACATTGTGTTATTATTCTTGTATTATTCTTGTATAAGTAGCTCTTCCTTGAACAGATTAGAGTGGTTTTCCAACTTGATGAGGTTGTTCTCCACAATTAGCCTTCTTCTTCCTGACCTAATGTTCCACTTGATCCTAGCAGAAGTGTAAAAGAAGAGCCTGAGTCAACATACCTGGCAGCACCAATGCTTGGCTTTAATTTAGTATGACAGTTTACGACTGAATTCTAATAGATCAGTGTAGTGAAGTGTGCAGTGTCATCCAGGAAGTCTAACTCATATTTCTTTTGAACTTTGAACACATTAATGAATGTCATACCTCACTTTCTAACAATTCTGGTGTTATTTTGCAGAATATCCCAATAAATGTATAATATATAATAATATAATAAATGAAAAGTTGCATTTTATATTTTTTTAGTATGGCACGCATATACTTTTAAAGCACAATACTCAAATGAGGTGTTTTTAGAAAGTCTTAGAAGCTTGTTTTAGAAGGTCTATAAAATGTTATTAGGGTTAGAGATCTTTATTAGCTAATGGAAAATCCTGACTGTTAAATATTTCACATACTGTTCTCTAGTGTTAAAATAGTCTCATCCAGTTATATATATATATATATATATATATACAGTATATTGAATGTGAAGCAATGAGATTTGTAGTAAACATCACAGAATTTAGAGTCCATGAGACATTGCAGGCTGCAGTATAAAGGTTTTTCTTCAACCACTGTCATTTTTATTTCAGGGTATGATAGCTAACTTCCAGATCACTATTTAAAGAAAGTCAAGGAGAAAAGCCCTGCACGGTTGTGCAACAGACTGAGGCTCTTAAGTAGGAGTGCAGGTGGAAGAGTACAAAAAGGCTCTAAAGTGTTAAAGTCTGCATATTTCAGCACACACTCATAGAACAAAAATAACAAAAACAATCCCAGGAATTTATTTACACCATATAGGCTGTGTGTGTGTGTGGTGTATGTGGTG